TATGGAGAGGATGCTGTGGAAGCCAGCGGGGGCAGAAGAGAGGGGCCTGTCAGGACTTTATTCTGGAGCAACAGGGCCACGAGACCAAGGCCACTGGGGAATGTGCTTAAGGGCATGTCTGAACCTCCCTCACCCACGGGTCAGGATGTGGAGCGAGACTTTATCTGTCCAGCAGTGGAAAGCCATGGTTAGTTCTTCTTCTTTTTTTTTTTTTTAATAATTTTATTTATTTTTGGCTGTGCTGGGTCTTCATTGCTGCTTGGGCTTTTCTCTAGTTGTGGGCTTAGAAGTCATGGCTCCTGGGCTCTAGAGCACAGGCTCTGCAGTTGTAGAGCAGGGGCTTAGTTGATCCGCGGCATGTGGGATCTTCCCAGGTCAGGGATTGAACCCCCGTCTCCTGCATTGGCAGGCAAATTCCCTCCCACTCACTGAACCCCATGGCTAGTTCTTGAGTGGGGGCGGGGGGCTCGGGATGTGCCTCTCTGACGTGGGGGGAAGCCTGGGAAGTGAGAAAAGCTGAGAAAGGTTTATACCTCTCCTGGCCCCCTCCCAGAGCAGGAGATGGGAGTCTGAGCACCATGGAGACCACCCCTGTGCACCTGGGTCTGTGGGGCTGGTGGAGAGCTGAGAGGCTTTCCAGGGAGCCCTTGATCCACTGGGAGGCACCCGCCTGGGGCCTGGGAGGCAGCTGGCTGCTTGCAAACCTACAATTAGTAGACAGAGGAGCTGAGTGGTGGTGGGGGAGGCGGGGAGCAGGTTGAGAGTTGCAGCTGGTTCCTGGATGCTGCCTGTCTCCAGCCCAGCACCCACTGTCCCAGAGGGGTGCCCAGGCTGGCTGGTGGGCCCCCAGGCCGACCGGGAGCTAGGGTCTCGGCAGGGGACGGAGAGCATAAGGAAAGCCAGAAAAATAACACCAACAGTGAAGCCATCTTCTGTTGGGAGAATCCAGCTGCTACTGTCTGCCTTTCACAGATAAGGAAACGAGAGCCCAGAGAGGGGCAGAAGCTGGCCAGAAGACACACAGCCAAACAGAAAGCAGCTGGGTCCAGAAATCAAGCTCACCTGGAGGGCTGGGATGTGGGGACTCACTCCTTGCATAAATCTCAAGGCAGGGACCCTAGGGGCTGCCTGGTAGGGGCAACACAAACTTGACTGGAGAGCAAGGGGAGCACAGACGCCAGGGCCCCCAGCCTCACGCTGCAGGGGGAGGAGGGGCCGGGCGGGGCAGTGTCTGGCCCGTCAGGTTCTACAGCTTGTCCGGGCACTCCAGGTCTATGAGAAGAGGCCCTGGCACTGCTGCCCCCAGGTTGTTGCAGCTTTCGGTGACTGGGAGACTTCTCAGCTGACCAGTAGAAAGTCATCTAGGACCGGTCCTGCAAGAATTGCAGTGAAGCTGGAGTCAGGGGTGGTGGTGGTGGTTCTGGCTTCAACCTTCTACCATCTCATTCATCCAGCCATCCATCCTTCGTTCTTTCCCTTTTTTAAAGACGCTCACTAGGCCCAAGGCACTGTGCTGATTGCTGGAAGGTTTCTCTGCCCTCCAGGAGCACCTGGTGGGGTGGAAGAAGCAGACAAATACACAGCCCAAAAGAACCAAGTAGACTGAGCTTTGAGAGGCTGGTGGGACTTTGACAGGGAAGGGGCAAATCTGAATGGCAGGAGGGGGGTTCAACATGGCTCGAGCTGCAGGGTCTGTGGAGTGGGGTGGTGCCTGGCCTTGGAGGGGTAGGGGAAGGGGGTCATCAGGAGTGTGGGCTCTCGCCTCAGACTGCCTGACCTGGAATTCCAGGGTCACCACTAAGTAGCTGTGTGGCTTTGGGATAGTTTCTATTTTTTTTTTAATAATTTCTAAACATTTTTATTTATTTTTTGGCTGTGCTGGGTCTTCATTGCTGCGTGAGATTTTCTCTGGTTGTGGTGAGCGAGGGCTTCTCTTTGTTGCTGCGCAGTCTTCTCAATGCCAGGGCTTACCTTATTGCAGAGCACGGGCTCCAGGGCAGAAGAGTGTCAGTAGTTGTGACATGTGGGCGCGGTAGTTGCAGTTCCCGGGCTCTACAATGTGGGCTCAATGGTTGTGGCCCATGGGTTTGGTTGCTCTGTGGCATGTAGGATCTTCCCAGACCAGGGACTGAATTCATGTCTACTGCCATGGCAGTGGATGCTTTACCGCTGAGCTACTAGGGAAGCCCCAGCTTTGGGACAGTTACTTGCTCCCTCTGAGCCCCTGCATCCTTGGTGTAAAGTGAGATGACGCTGGGACACCCTGCCTCACAGGGTCGTGAATCACACGGTGTGGCTCAATACACGTTAACTGTTCTTGGCACTGCTGCCCATGGTGACAAGGAGCCTGCAGGAGTTCTGAGAGGCAGAGTGACATGTGAACTTGGCCTAGCTGTGCTTCACACACTCAATTTCCTCACTTGTTCAAAGAAAGACTGGACTAGGCCAGGGGCAGGACACACGCCTACTTCTGGGGGCCAGGCGGTGATAGAGGCAAGGAGGTGCAGGTAAAGCTACAGGGAGTGGTGGGGACTGTGGTTCATGGGTGCCTGTGCGCTCCTCCAGGGAGCACCTACCTCTTACCTCCATAGCTGTGGCCATGCAGGAGTGTGAGTCCAGTGTGATCTGACATGCTGAGATCTCAAGAGGGGGAAACCCACATTTTTTATGAGGAAACTTCCCATTATTAACATCAGCAATGCATTAAATATCATTTTTCAAGCCTGATGTGAGCCAAAGTTGATGCTTCTGTTTGGCAGATATTGCTGCCACGACCCCCAGGACGCAAGGGCTCTGAGCCATGAGACAGCGTGAGTTCCAGGGCCAGAGAACCTTCCAGCCCCGTGTCTGCGGCTGCACTTCCCTCCCAAGACTTTCCGGCTCCCTTGTACATGGGAGGTGGGAGGCCAGACCCTCTCCTCTCTGACCCGTTCTCAGGAGTAGCCCCGCCTGCAGACAGGGGCTGTAATGGGGCCCCTGCTCCACGCTATCTCTCCGGAGGTGCCGGGGAGTCTGGGGGAGCCCGTCGGGCTGGATGGTCTGCTCTGTGTCTGGGAATGGCAGGTCTGCCTAGGGGCCTAGGGGGTGGCTCTCAGGGCTGCTGTCTGCGAGCGCCTGGCTCCCGGGGGTCAAAGGGCAGCACTTTCAACCTTTTCTGGGGCCCACTTCCTGTTTGGGAGAGAAAACAGCAAGACCCCCAGCAGGAAATGTTCCTCTTCCCGCAGAGCCTCTTCTCTTTTCTGCTGGCTCTGGCTTGTGGAGAAGGCCATGTGGGGGGATCCATGTGGGGTTTCTCCCACTCCTCCCTCCCCCCCTTGGAGCCCAGGAGGGACCTGGGGCCTCTGTGTCATGACAGCAGACCCCACCCTACCAGCGTGGACAGTGTAGTCTTGGCAACAGGGGACCTATTTATCATCCCCTGCGGGGCTCCTGGGCCTGCCTGGCGCCTCCTCTCAGCCCCCAGGGCCTATGGCAGCCGTGGGTCCTAGCACCATCGCCCCAAGGGTCCCCTAGACTGGGCCACAACAGGAGAGAAGTCTTTAACTGCAGCTGCCCACCCCAAGGCAGGGAGCCCTCCCCCCACCTCGAGCAATTGAATTTAACTTCTCTTGGGTGCCAGGCCCTTGCTCTGAGCCCAGCCTCTCCCTTCTTACCTCTGAACACAGGGAACTTGCCGTGGCCCCTGGGCTAGGACAGTTCTGAGAGTGCTTGCTCCTGCAGAAAGCAGGCCCTGCATGCTAAGAGTTCACGTCAAACTCTCATCAAGAGCAGGCGTCTCAAATGCCATCTCAACTTGTGAAGATTCAACAATGTATACTACCATGCTTTGAATAACCTTTCCTACCAGATTTAATATACACTAGCTGGTTATAGAAAGTTTAGGAATTAAGAATCAAAAGATAAAATCTATCATGTCACTACCTAGAGCAGGGCTAGGAGAATGATGAAAGGGTTAGAGGTTGTGTTCATACCCAGCTCTGGGTAAACACACACCAGTCAGTTGCCTGAATGTCATTCCTTATGGCCGAACCCAGCTGGCAAATCCCTCCTTTCCAGGGCATACCTTCAAGTATTTCAATTATAATTCACTTTTAATGAAGTCCAGGTGAACTCTTCTAACCCTCCTGATGACTCTATGAGACAGTTTACAGATGGAGATGCTGAGGCTCAGAGAAGGCAAGTAACTTCCCCAAGGTTGCACAGCCAGTAAGGGCCAGAGCAGATATCTGAATTCATCTGGAGTCAGAACTGAAGTCTCCTGCAGACTAAACATGCACCATCCTTTCTCGTTCCCTTCACAGGAGCTGGATTCCAGACCATTCATCAGTTCCATTGTTCATTCATTCATTCTTTCTCACATTCATTCATTTATTAAGTCACTCAAGTGACTTCATATCAATATTCCCGAGCTCAGATTTGGTGCCGGGGCAGGCTGATTCTGTCTGTCCCCCACGTGCATGCCTGCATCTGCCACACACTCAGGACTCCACCCAAGAACCTGAACTCCATTTATTACAAAAGACTGGGTTATCACATTGTACTAAGAACAGCCACAGCCCCTGCCAGACCTCCAAGGTCCAGAGAGGCAGCCTGGATGGAGGCCCCTAACAGCTCTCCTTTGACACCCCCTCCCCCGGCAAGAAAGTCCTGGGTGGGTGGGGGCACCTGACTGGGCCTTGGAGTGGTCCTGTGTTTATAAAACCAAATAAGTCCAAGGACCCCAGGCATATATACTAATATATATATGACATATATATATATTAAAAAAATACATATATATATAAAACGTAGGCCATGGCTTCCCTTCCATGGAGTGTCGGTTAGGTGGGACCACCAACGCCCACCATGGGAGAGAAGGAAAGTTGTCTGGCAGAGACCGGGGTCGGCTCCCAGAGTGAGCACAGACAGCTGCGTCAGTTCGAGCGGCCGGGCAGCCTGGGCACCCAGGGGTGGGGGGTGGCGCCCAGGCCGCGGCCCAGTCCTGCCCAGAACCGGCGGCTCTAAGCCACCTGGATCTGCAGGTCCTCGTCTTCGTCCAGGTCACTGGCTCCGTCCCCCGCCTCCTCGGCGCCAAAGCGAGCACTGCGGATCTTCCCAAAGAGGGGGGCGTTCTGCTGCTGTCGGCGGAGCCTGTGGGGTGGGGTGACAGGCGGGTCAGAGACCGGCCTGACCCGCTGGTGCTGACAGCAGCTACGCCTCCCCTAGCGCTTCCCGCTGCCAGGCACCAGACTGGGCCTTCCACAAACATTGCCTCATCTCACTTCATCCTTCCAGAAGCCCCCAAAGTGAGGGAGGTGCTCCTGTCTCTCCCATCTTACAGACAGGGAAACTGAAGCACTACGTCCCACAGACGGCAGCGAGAAGGGGCTGGGCTCTGAACTGGATGGCTGGCTCCTGAGTGGGCAGGGGGGATGGGTAGGGGGGATGGCTTGAAGAGGTGAAGCAGCCGGCTCAAGGTCCCGAGGCTGGGATTCGAACCCAAGCCAGGCTCCAAAGACCATAGGAAGAGAGTCCAGGGGTGAGGGTTCTGAGTCCCCCACATCCCTAATGTCAGTGAGAAAGCCCTCCGCCCGAGTTCTTCCCCACATTAAAATTCCTAAAGCCAAAATTTACAAGGCAGGCTTGCCTCTAAGAAGAGCCAGAGGAGGAAGTGCCCATCCCCCCCACCCCTGGCTCCCCGCGCCCACCCCCAGCGGAGCGGCCGCCTGGCTGCATCTTACTGGAAGGCATGAATTATTAACACGGCGGGGAGGGGCGCGGGCGGGGGCCTCCATCACTGCATGGTGATTTAGTGAGCTGCCCCCGGAACATTAAAGCGCAAAGAGTTGGGAAATAAGATGAGGCGGCGGTCCTGGGCAGCCCCACCCTCCCCATGGAAGCACTTGAGAGCCTGGGCAGAGCCGGCCTGCCTGCCCATTTTGGCAGTTTATGGCTCCCAAAGAATGTGGCCAAGACTGCAGGAAGGCCCTGAGGCTAGGTGGCCTTGTGAGGGGTATGTGCTGGAGTGGGGTGCGGGGGAGCGGGGGTAGATGGGGAGGGGGGTGGGGTGGGCAGAGCTGGCCAGACACGAGCCTGACTTGCACTCATGGCTGGGCTCCGGCATGACACTTCATAGGCAACATCCCAAGCAGCTGGGGAAACTGAGTCTTGGCTGCCCGGGTCACACGGCTATCAGGTCTGGCTCCACAGTCTGTGCTCTGAGCCACACTCAACACATATATAAAACAGTACATGCTCTGTAAATAAGGGCTCAGGTGGCAGATGGCTGGCGGGGGCGGGGGGGCAATCTGACCTGACCACCCACCACCTGTGTGGCAGTGAAAAGATTTAACCCTCTTGTGCCTTAGTTTCCTCATTTGCCAGCCCCCTGGGGGAGAAAAAATTTTCCTTCCTGTCTCTCCTAGGATCGTGGTTCTTAAAGCACAATGTTGTTGATCAGTTGCTAAGTCGTTTCCAACTCTTTGAGACCCCATGGACTGCAGCATGCCAGCCTTCCCTGTCCTTCATTATCTCGCGGTGTTTGCTCAAACTCATGTCCTTTGAGTTGGTGATGCTATCCAACCAGGGCACAATATCTGACTCCAATACTAAAGCTCTGCTACTATTTAGCATTTATCATGGGCCAGGTCCTTTTATAAGCACAGATTGGCTCATTTAATTCCCACAATCAAGAAGTAATAAAAATTGTTATCAATCCTATTTTACAGATGAGGAAACTCTGGGGGAAAAAAAAAGATGTTAAGTAAGTGGCCCAAAATGACATAGCTACTTAGTGCAGAGCCAGAGTTCCCACCACCCAGGCAGTCTTGGCAGCATAGACTGGGTGCTGTCTATTCCATGAAATAAGGATGGAAGTAAGGGCCTGGCCTGGCACAGGAAATCAGTCTCAGGTGGGAGCTTGTGAAATGGGGCGGGGCTTGGACTAGATGTTCTCTGACATATCCCAGCTCTAAGGGGAGTCTGGGGAAGAGAGCCACTCTCGGGGTGTTGGGATGGGGCGGGAGGCAGTGCATGCTGGGTGGGCCCCCAGACCTCCTGGTCCTCCCTCACTGAGGTTGATGGGTCCTGTCTGCAGCTGAGGGGTCTGGGGCTGTCATCAGGGCCGGGATCCCACAGACCCCAGCTAGTCCTGAGTCACCCCAGCCTGCGGACCTTGCGGGCTGCTTGTCCTGCTCATCAGACTGCCCAGATCCACCTGCCCTCCCTGCTGCCCCACGCTGGGCCTGACCTCTTTGGCTGCTCCCTCTATATCTGCTGGCCACAGGACACAACTCCAAGGCTCCCAGCTGGTCTTACTTCCTGCACTCCCTTCCCTGGTTTCCGAGCCCTGGCCCTTCCTGCTTGGAGGGGACAGGATTCTGGCCCCAGGACATCCAGATCTCTTCCTTCCCTGTCTTCCCCTCTAGGCCCATTCGGGGCTCCAGCCCTGACCCCTGCCCCTGGGCTGGAAGCACCTCCGCCCTGTGTGTGTGCCCCAGCCGGGAGTCCTCGCCCCTGGGGTGGCACGCTGGGCCCACCTGGACTGCACATGTTCCAGCTGCACTTGCAGATTCTCGCTCTGCTCCGTCTGCTCATCCAGTGACCGCTGCAGCTTCCGCGCTTGGTTATGGGCCTCGTCCAACTGTGAGGGTGAACGGGGCCAAGAGCGCAGGAGTCACCTTGGGTTGGGCCAGCCTGCCCTGCAATATGCTGAGGACCAGCCACTCCTGCTGTTTCTCTGAGAATGACCCTCCTCGAGAGCAATTTCTGTCTCTCCTTTGAGAACTAGACCAAGGCCCAGCTCCTCCAGGAGAGCATCCCTTTTTCCCCTCTTCTTGCCTGTTGCCTCTCCCTTGCAAATCTACCCATCCTCTAATGCCCCAAGCTACTGATCCATCCATCAACCCACCTACCCATATATTCCTATGAATCTGTCCATCTGGCCATTCAACCATGGAAATATCCATCTGCCTATGGAGACACCCACTGACCTACTCACCATCCATTGATCTATTCAGCCACCCATTCATACTACCCTTCTGTCCTTCCACTCTTCCAAACCCGTCTTCCCATCTACCCATCCTTCTGCCCTTCTTTCCTTCGGTCCATTCACTCTTCTACCCACTGACCCAGTCAGTTGTCTGTCCACCTTTCCACTATCCACTCAGTCATCCATCTTTCCACATATCCATTCATCCATCCACCTACCCCTTCATCCATCCGTCCAACCACCCATCAGACATCTGTTGTTATGTCTCATCCATCTCTCCTCTCTCCCAGCCATCTGTCCATCTACTCCCTCATCCATCTGTTCATATATCCATGGAGTTATCCTTCTGTCCGTTTAACCGACTTCACATCCACCCACTCATCCATTCATTAACTCTACTCAACCACTCATCTACGTTATCTGTCCATTTCTCTTCCCGTCTTCCTACCCACACACCACCTGTCACTCACCCGCTCTCTCCTGAGTGCCTCCCGAGTCAGGTTTGTACCAGGCACTGGGGACCCAGCATGGAGAGACACAGGAGGGCCCTGCAGCTCCACTCCCACCAACTCCAGCCAAGGTCTGCAGGCTGCACCGAGGCCCCACAGGGGCTCACCTCGTCCTCAGCCTGGGCCAGCTCCTTCTTGAGCTCCTCCACCCGCAGCCGCAGCTTCTTCACCTCGGCCTCGTGCTGCTCCACCCGCCGGTTGGCGTGGGCCAGCTCTGCCACCTTCTCCTGGAACTGCTTCTTCAGTTTGCCGTGCATGTGCTTCAGGTCGGCCAGCTCCTGCAGGAGAGTGGAGACGGAGGAGGGCTCATGCCGGGCGGTCCATGAGGTCAGGTGGTGCTGGGGCCCCTCCACCCCGGAACCTCTCTGAAATGCCAGCACTAGAGTTGGGTGAGGAACTGGAGGCTAGAGGTGCCCCTAGTGAGGTGAGAAGGCCTGGGGGTGATGCGGGGAGAGGTGGGTGGAACTGCTGGCTCCACTCTGCACATGGAACTCTGGGGGTGCCTGCTGGAGATGACCTGAGGTGTGCAGTAGGCTACTTGTGCTGAGTCTCGTTTTCTGGGGAGGGATAAAGTCAGGACTCTTTGATGTATAAACGGCATTAAAGCTCTGGGTCAGCTGAGGAGTGTGTTTTGGAAGTAAAGAGATCTGAAGCCAGAGTGGCTGGGAGGAAGATGAGCAGCCAGGAGAGGAGCTGTCCACACCTGAGCTCTGGGAGCTCTCTGAGCCCTCAGTCTTCACATCTGTGAAATGGCCTCTTGAATCCTTCTTTGTTCCATTTCCACCAACCTCAGCCTGGTCCTGGCCTCCATCATCTCCCGCTGCCCCCAGGAAATGGCCCAGACTCCTCATCAGCTTGTCTTCTCATCCATCTTCCACACAGCAGCCAGTGAGTGCTCAGAGCCACAACTTGCTCGCACCTACCTCTCACTTTTCAAAGGTGGCTCAGGCCTCCTGCCTCATCTACCACATCCCTCTTGCCTGCTCCCCTCCAGCCACACCAGCCTCCCTTGTTCCTTGAAAGCTCTAGGTCCCTGTCACCATGGGACATTCATTCACATCATTTTTCAAATTTCCTCCTGGAATCAGTCCACTGCCAGTCAATGTCTGCTCTCCCTGGAGACCTAGGCTTAAACGCCACTGCCTCAGGAAAGCCTCCCCAGGACCTGGGCCTCAGCCAGGTCCCCGGGCATCTCCTCTTCTCTCTCCCTGCCACAGCCACGGAGCTGTGTGATCAGCATAAGTGTGTGATGGAGGGAGCAACGACTGTATCCCCCTCAGCTATCAGCTCCATGAAGGGAGGCCACGTTCCTTCTGTCTGTTCACGACTGTGTCCCCACCACCTAGAACAAGGCCTACACATAGCTGGAGCTCAATAAACATTTGTTGGACCAATAAAAGGGCTGCTGAAAGGATTAAGTGATGTTGTTGTGTCTGACTCTTTGTGATCCCATGGACTGTACCCTGCCAGGCTTCTCTGTCCATGGGAATTTCCAGGCAAGAATACTGGAGTGGGTTGCCTTTCTTTTTCCAGGGGATCTTCCTGACCCAAGGATTCAACCTGCATCTCCTGTTTGGCAGGTGAATTCTTTACCACTATGCCACCAAGTATTCTCCATAGCATGGGCAGAAAGTACTAGCACGGAGCCTGGCCCACAGTGGTACCCCACAAACCCAGCTATGATGGTGGTATCACTGGGCCTGGCCCACGGCGGGTGCCCAGGAGGAGCCGTTGCCAGGCAATCACCTCCTCGGTCTGTAGTCGTTACTTCAAGGGTCTCTGACCCCCTGCGGTCTGGAGCTGAATGCCCAGGAGGTGGTCTGCCCCGGCCCTGGCAGCGGCCGTCTCACTACCCTACCTTGTTCTTCTCAAAGAGCGCGGCCTGGCTGGCCCGCAGGTCACAGTCCAGCGCGCTGGCCGTCTGCCGCCGTCGTCGGGCCAGCGCCTCCTCTAGGTCCCCAACCTGAGCCCGCAGCTTCTTGTTCTCCCGCTCCAGGCCCAGCTTCTCTGTCTCCAGCCGCTCCCGGCGACCCCACTCGGCGGCGTTCTCCGCCTGCAGCCGCTCCATCTGCAACAGGGCAGGACAGGGGGAGGGGTCCACGGGGAAGGGGCATAGCACAGACTGAGCGGGAGGTTTCCCCCCTCCCCACCTCCTCCAGCAGTTGTTTTTGGCTCCAGGAAGCAAGTCCAGCTGCAGCAGCTATAATTAACCCGGGCTTATTTCACAGTGTGCAGGGTGTGAGGGAGCTTCTGGTCTCTGTGAGCCAGAGAGGCCCACCCCCTGCAGACTGGAGCACCCAGGGCTGTGGCTGGTTCCTGCCCTCCTGTGACTGAATGGAGGCAGGGCCCCCTGGGCACCCCCCAGACCCAGGGCCCTGCTGGTGGCCTCACCTCGCCCCTCAGCTCAGCCATCTTCCTATCCATACTGGAGCGCGCACCCAGCTCATCCTCCAGGTCTTCAGACATGCGGCCCAGCTCGTCCTGGTGGGCCTCCTTCAGTATGCTGAGCTGCGTGAGACAGCACAGGCTGGTTAGGTGAGGACCACCAGATCCGGGGAGGGGTGGGTGCTGGTGCCGGAGGGCTCAGCAAGAAGCCTCAACGTGGTGCCCAAATGGGCCACGGGGTATCCAGAACAGACCCTGAATCTGACCACATCTGCCTCCTCCAACATCTCTCACCTTCTCCCTGATTATTCATCCAGTCTCCCAGCATCCATTCTTGGGCACCCTCCTCCTGCCCCCTGACCTTCTCTTGTCAACCCATTTTCCGCAACAGTAGCCCAGGGTGAGCTTTTAAAAAGAGATAAACCCAGGGGAATTCCCTGGTGATCCAGTGGTGAGGACTCTGAGTTTCCACTGCAGGGAGGCAAAGGTTCCATCCCTGGTTGGGGGACTAAGATGCTGTAAGCCACTCTGTGCGGCCAGAAAATAAGCTAATTAATAAAAAAAAAGATACAGCTAATCATATCCCCAACCCCAGGTTCCCTAAGAACCAATCCCTCCCTATGGTCCCACAAAGCCATCTCCCCTCAACCGCATCACCCTCTCCCCAGAGCTCTCTGAGCCTCCTCTCTGGTCCTCAAATACACAAGTTCTGTCTGCTGCAGGCTTCACACTGTGGTTCCCTCTGCTCCGTGCTTTCCACCCGAGGTATCTTGAAGGGCTGACTTCTCTCATTCTTGGTCTTGGTCTAAATGCCCTCTCCTCAGGGAAGCTCCTCCTGTCTTCCCTGTCTAGAAGGGGTGCTTCTCCATCTCCCTACCTCCACAAGAATGTGAGCCCGGGAGACAGCATGTCTGTCTGCCCACCTTCGTATCCGTGTATGGCCTGGGCACCCTCAGTGAACATTGGCTGAACACACCCACTGGATCTGAATGCAGGTCTGCCTGTGGGTGTGAGGCTGGTCACACCAGAATTGCCTGGGGTGCTTTTAAAATAGTGCAGAATCCCTGCTAAGAGCAGGGAAAACTGCCAGAGGAATACTCTTTGCAATGGCATGAATGAACCTTAAATATGCAGTGTTGCTGGAAAAAAAACCCAGATACAAATGAGAATCTTTATAGTTATGTATCTGTAAAACTGCACAGTTGGGTCTCACATTTCTTCAAATGATTACACAATTTGAAAAGATTAAAAAGACAGATTCCTGGACCTAAGCCCCAAAGATGCTAACACAGGAGAGTGAGGGCAGGGTCTGGGAAGCTTTATTTTAGGAGATTCCTTAAGGAGATTCTACTTAAAGACCAATCTTGCAGGGAAGTTTCAGGCTCCGGGGTCTGTGAGCCGCCAGCCTTTTAGAAAAGCAGGGTGGCTGCGCCCCCTGGTGGCCATCAGGGTCTGCACATGAAGCAGTAAGGGAAGCCCAGCCTGACCCCAGCATGTAGGAGTTTCCAAACTGCAGGGGTGGAATTTCCTCTCTGCCAGCTGGAGTATCAGTTTCCTCATCTGTAAGATGGGGACACCAAGCGTGTTTCCTTAACTGCTGGGAGGCTCTAACAAGATCTCATACCCACTATGTACCCAGTGAACATCCAGACTCCTTCCCTTTATTTTGGTCTACAAGGCCGGTGGGATCCCCTTGCAATCTCATCTCTCACCAACTACCCTTCAGCCACACTGGCCTCTATTTCTTGAACACACTAGGCTTGTCCTGGCCTCAGGACCTTTGCATTTGCTGTGCCCTCTGCCAGGAACTCTGTCCCCATCTCTTCTCAGCAGTGGCTTCTTCTAATCACTTTAGGTCTTGCCTCGAATGTAACCCTCTTAGAGAGACCTTTCTATGACCCACCATTTCATCTCTCTGATTGTGTTTTGGCTTTCACAGCTTCTGAATTTATCTACCTGGTTACTGTTGGTCTCCTCCCCACAACCCCTCCTCCACCTCCTGCCCCAGCCCACAGATCACCGCATGGCATACGGCTGGTGCTTGACAGTGAATGATTGAATTCTCCTCTTTCTCCCATTCCCGCTGCTGAAATTCAATGACACAGTACTGCTTCCTCCAGGAAGCCCACCCTGGTCTCCAAGACTCACTTGCTTGAGCATCTCCTGCTTGGTCTTGCTCAGTTCCTCGTACTTGATCTTCCACTGGCTGAGCTCTCCCTCCAGCTTCTCGATGTTCCTGCTCAGTGCCATTTTATCCCTGGGGAGGGGAGACGTGGGGGTGAGCCCACGGGGGCCCTCTGCTGAGTCCTCCTGCATAGTCCTCCATTCCCTTCCAAGTCCAAGACCAAGGTGTTCTGAGGGTTGTGAGAGGTAATCTGTTCTACGCTGCTTCCCTGGCTTCTGCTGGTTTATTGTGTACTCTAGGCCGTGGCACCCCACTCTGTGGCAGGCGCCCTGGTGGTGCAGTTCTAGAGCTTCACCCTCCACACAACTGCAGGAGTCCAGCCCCTGCTGCGGGGAGTGACTGGTTCTCCAGGGCACCAGGCCCTGGGCTCATCCACCAAACAGTACCCCCACTCCCCCCATCTGTTTTATGCTGACTTGGTGTGAACACACAGCTCTGCAGTCAGAAAAGCTGGAAAACACTGTCCAGTGACTCTCCGAAGGAGGAGTCCCTTCTCGTCAACATCACTGGGTGGGCGCTCCATCAGCTGCTCTCATCACCCTCGCCCTGCACTCTGCCCTGAATGTGAAGGAGGCACCGTGGGTATTGGCTCCGGTATGTAGTGGTTCATGACCAAACCCCACACCACGCTGGCCTCCCATTCTGAGAGTTTAGTATTACTTTACATTTCAGTTAGTACAACAGGTTGATTTTTGTTCACTGTGCTTAAACAGAAATGCAGTGTCTCAGTTCTGGAGGCTCCAAGTCCAAGACCAAGGTGTTGGTTCCACATGAGGGTTGTGACAGGGAATCTGTTCTTTACCTCTTCCCTGGCTTCTAGTGGCAATATCTGGTGCTCCTTGGCTTATAGAAGCATGGCTGTGATCTCTGCTTCTACCTTCACAAGGGCACTGTGCTGATTTTTAAAAGATTTCTGTGTGTAGTTATCTTATACCATCTTTGTGTTTAATTTCTGGATGGAAAAGGGGGTGTTACTAAATATTCACCATAATCAGGCAAAAATGACCAATTAAGGTCACTGGTGACCTCCAAGTCATAAATCAACTGGTCAGTGCTCAGTCCTCTTCTGACTTGACCAGCTGACTGCTCCCTCATCCATGAAACAGTTCCTCCCGCTTCCTCTGCCCCCTCACTGGCTCCCTTCTCCTGTATCCTTTGCTGCCTCCCTCTTCCTCTGATTCTATAGCTGGTCGGCTCCAAGGCCCCATCCTTTGACCTCTGCCCTATCCACTCTCACCCCAGTTCATGGTTTTCAGCATCATCTATTCACTGATGACTCTTGAATTTCTACCTCCAGCCCAGACCTGTCTCTTGAACTCTATAGACTCATTCATGCCCCCAAATGCCTTCCTGCTGAATCAAGCTCAACACGTCCAAAAGCAAACTCCCAGCTTCCACCCCTCAGTCCCCTTATCCCTCCTTCCCTGCTTTGATTTTTGCCCACGGCACTCTCCCTGCACGAAGGCAGGGATTGCTGGTCTCATGGATAGCTGTATCCCCACTGAGCACAGTGCCTGACCCAGATCCCTGACACATATTAATTGAATAAATTTTAAAAAACCCTCACATTGGGTCCTTGGGTACAGTACCACTGTTCTCAAGTCCCAAGAGTCAACGGGACTCAAAGAGGAAGTCCCATTCCCTTTCGGTGAGACTCACCTTCTGTGACATGGATTTTCATTCTGTGATTCCGAGGAGGCCCTGGTATGGCCTGACCTTCCCCCCAGCCCCTGCCTGCCTCCCGGGACTCACTCTCGCTCCTTGAGCAGCACCTTCTGGGACTCATCCAGCCGTAGCCGCAGGGCGGTCAGCTTGGAGGCATCCTCCTCAACCGTGGTGTCCTCCCAGGGCAGGCGGCTGCGCTCCTGGCGGCCCGAGCTGCCCCGTGGGGCCCCGGCCCCTGCGCTTCGCACCTCCCAGCAGCCCTCGGGCTCCTCTGGTCTGCTCTTCAGCAGGCTATCCACCAGCTCCAGCTCCTGCAGGGACCCAGGCAGAGGTTGGACTAGTGATCGCCGAGCCCTCACTCTCTTGGCCTTCATCATGGCCTCTCCCAGGTCCAGGGTCTGGCATCAGCTTGGTGGGTAACCGTGGGCAAGCCACACAGTCCTCTGGACCCCCATTTCCTCTCCTGCTGCCTGTCTCTCCACCCCTGGAGAGGGAGGGCCACACCCTCTCCCTTTACTGCTTGGAACTTCACACAGTCAGCCACTCAGATTCCCTGAATCCTGGAAGATTCCCCAGAAGAGGTGGTAAGCTCTCTGCTGCTGGAAGTATGCAAATATTTGGTGGGACACTGATGAATGCAGTAGCAGGGATTCCTACAAGGAATAAGGACTAGATTCCCTCAAAAGGGATTCCTGCCCAAAGATTTCACTTTTCAGTGGGATCACCTGAAACATGATAAGTTTCATGGTAAAAGATGCATGGACTTCCCTGGTGGCTCAGTGATAAAGAATTTGCCTGCCAGTGCAGGAGACTCAGGTTCAGTCCCTGGGTTGGGAAGATTCCCCTGGAAAAGGCAATGGCAACTCACTCCAGTATTCTTGCCTAGGAAATCCCATGGACAAGGAGCCTGGTGGGCTACAGTTCATGGGGTCACAAAAGAGTCAGACACCACTGAGCAACTAAACCACAACAGATAAAAGATGCACAGGAAGGTGGCCTCTGAGAGCAGAACCAGCTCCCAGACAGAAAGCGGTGAGGGTTGATTAACTCAACCCTGAGCCCTCTTCCTTCCTGCCAGGCTCCCCTTCTCCTCTGCCCTTGTCTGCCCCCTGGCCTGCCTCTGACCACAGACCCAAGATGCCCATGGCCTCTGTCCCAGCCTGGCTACTCCCAGTCTTTCCAGATGAGTCTGGGCTGGTCCCTCCCTCCACTGACCTTCAGTTTCCCTATCCAGACTAAGACAGTGGGCCTGAGGAGTGAAATTCTACTCCTCTTATATCTCAGACTGTCTGGGTGGGGGCCTCTGAGGCCATCTGGTCCAAATCTCCAATTCCCAACTGAGGAACCAGAGAGGGAAGAAGGGAATTGATGGAGGGTCACAGAGCACAGACATGGCTGGGCTGGAGAACAAACTCAGGCTGCATCCTCCGAGCTCCTGCTTTGGTACCTGCCACCTCGTGGGGTGACTCATAACCAAACACAGAGAGGACAGGAACAGTGCCCGAGGCTGGCTGTTATATAGAGGCTCATCCTCTGCCCCAAAGAAGAGCAAGGACTGTCACCTGCAAGCACCAGGCAGGCCCCCGGGAAGGGGGCTTCAGCCACCAGGAGGCAGCAGTGACCACTCTAGCCCACAGGCAGGAGAGGGGAGAGGGCAGCTAAGAATCTTAGGAGCTGGCCTGACTGCGGATGGAGCTGGGAGCAACCTGAGCCTGGACTCTGTCCCTAGACTGCCTTCAGGTGAGTCTTGCTTGTTCAGAGAAGGCTGCCCTCCACACATATCATTAATGTTCCAGATAGCCTAATTATTATCACCATGGGCTCAGAAGTTCATCTGGGGTCAACTCCCAGCGACTCCAGTCACCAGTTGGGAGCCACTGGTAATTAACCTCTCTGTGCCTCAGTGTATTCATTTGTAAAGCCAGTATTTCCTTGGTTGCCCTGAGAATTAACTAGATAGTGTGTATGCAGAGCCTAGCATTCTGTAAGGGTGCCCATGGAATGACGGAGGCCTTTCCCAGATTTACCAAGCACTCTCAGCCTCTCGTTATTTGCACAGAATTTCCATCACCTGTAATGCATTCCTGCACTTTTCACCATCAATTTCTCCTATCTCAGCTTAAATGGGACCGCTTCTAGAAAAGCTTCTGTGAAGCTCCCTCCTCAGAGCCTGGCTCAGGGACCTCCTTCGGGCTCCCATTGCCCGGACAACCCCCCCACCCCTCAGCTTTGATAGACACCTGTTAAAATGTTTACTCCTTCCTCTAAATTGAATAAATGAAAGGATTCAGCTCTGCGACTAATGGATGCCTTTCAGGTAAGTTCTTAAAACCTGCTCCTGCTCAGAGAGGATGATTTGTTGGTTTTGTTGATTACTCAGGTATGGGAGCGGCGGGACCACCAGAATCAGGGACACTCTGCCCTTGGGGTCTGTGGGAGGAAGGTAACCTGGGGCTCTGCACGGCAGAGCCTGAATCCCAGGAGGTGGGATACCCACCCCCGTGCCAGGACCTTACTTCCCTTTCTGAGCCCTACAGGCAAGGCTCCTGCGCGGGTCAGGCAGCCCCTCCCACTTCCGGACCCAGCGCGAAGGCCCCGCCCAGAAGCCCCGCCCCACGCCGCGCACCTGGCTGCCCTGCGGCCTCTCGCATCCGGATCCGACGTCGCGCACCGGCACCGGCTCCTGTTCCCTTTCTGGCTCCGTCTCCGGCCCATCGGGCGTCCTGTCCGCGGTCCCCCGGGCGCCCCGCAGCCGCGCCAGCTCGCGGCCCCGCGCCTCGCACTCGCCCTGCGCTTCTTGGCGCTCGCGCCGAGCGCCCGCCAGCTCCTTGGTGAGCGCGTCGAGGCGCTGGCGCAGCTGGCGCACCTCCTCGCGCGCGCGGTTGCGCTCGGCGCGCACCTTGCTCCACTTCTCGCGCCAGTTGGCGGTGCAGTCCGACCACCAGCGCATGGTCTTCTCCATCTGCGCCGCCCGCGCGCGCGCCTCCTCCAGCTCCCGCAGCCGCAGCTCCTCGCGGCTCTCCCAGTCCCCGTCGGCCAGCAGCGCGGGCGCCGGCGGCAGCGGTAGCGCTGGCGGCGGCCCTGGGGAGGGCGTGCCGCTGGGAGGCGTGGGCGGAAGCGAGTCCGCGGGCCCCATGCGCTCGGGCGACGGGCTGCCCAGGATGGTCAGGAGGCTGCCCTTGGACAACTGCGGGGACTCGGCCAGCCGGGGGCTCGGCCCGTGGCTCATGGTGTGGCCGCGGGGGCGGGCGGGCTCGTGGGCGCTGGGCTGGAAGTCCGGGACTCAGAGGCGGCGCAGGAGACGCGTGGCAGACGCGATACCACTGTGCATGATGGACACTGCCACCGGCTGCTCTCCGGGCCACGGGGAAGGGGACGCTCCTCCGACCTGTGGGAGAACACAATCATTATTTGGAGGTGGCCACCAACTGTCCATATCCTTAAGCTCAGGCATGGGAAGCGAAGGGAACAGCACGACCGGTAGAAGGAACAGCATGAGCAAAGGTAGAAGGAGTAAAACGGGTCACCTCCAGGAGCCCCAGTGAGGCTGGAATGGTGAACAAGGGCCTGCAGCCGCTTCCTCACTGGCCTCCAAATCACCCTCTTGAGTCCCTTCACCCTGGAGCAGCCACCGCTGATCTGAAACCTTGATAAGCTGTCCCTGACCTTCAGGTCCCATCTCACACATTGAATGGCTTATACTGCTCTCCACCCGGAATGCTACGTGCTTCCATGCTGGCCCTGATGCCAGGAGTCCCCTCCCAGCCTCTTCCTGTGCTGGGCTGACTCTTCCCATCCTTAAAACCTACCTGAAATAGCGTCTTCTCCAGGAGATTTTCCAGGACCCCTTCAGGCCAGGTGGTCAGCCCCTGCCCATGTCTCCACCAGCCAGCCTCACTGTGCTGTTTTTCTGTGTCCCTGTGAGCACCCCAGCTTCACCCCAGGCTGTGAGTTTGCTGAGGGCAGGGGATGGCTGGCTCTTGGTCTTTGTCCCAGCACATGATGACAATAACAGTGACATTTATGGAGGGCCAACTACAGGCCAGGCACCATGCCTATGTGAGCTATCCTCTCAACAGACTCGAGGGCAACTATAGACATTTACTGAAGAGGAAAGGGAGACTCAGCAAAAGTAAGCCCTGGAGTTGATCCAGATATACCATCCAGAAGTCCAAACCCTGGTGTGGGTTTGGTGAATACAGGCACACACTGGTGGTATGATGGAAGTAAGCTGGGGTCTAGATGGGGGGGCCATGCAGTGTGGTGAGGTGTCCCCCCATGCCAACCACTAAGCTCTGTTGTTCGTTGGCCACATCCCTTTTAAAAAAAGTGAGACACATGCCCCGCTCTGTCCCCAGCCTGCCACACTCTCCCTCAGAGTGGCTTTATGCTGACCACTGACAGCTCCTTGGGCTATCTCGTACTTCCTTCCCCATTCAGCTGGGCTTGACCCTCAGGGCCTCACTGCAGCCCCTAAGACCTGCCCTGATCATTATTCCTTCCTTTTCTGGGTGACCCATCAGGGCATTGCTGGTGGGACTCTCAGCATCCTGGAAGAGTGTCCCAATACTGTCTGGCTGTGTCCCTTCATCACCCTTTTCCAGCCTCAGCCCCCCACTCTTGGCAGCATATCTAATGTCACAGTTTGTGGTGAAAAGAGGAGCTGTCAGGATGGTGCTCCCTCCTTGTCCTGCCCTTAGCCCCACAGCCCCCTCCTCTCTGCTGTGAAGAGGACAGGGGGCTCTCCCTCCCTGGCTCAAAGGCCCCCCCATCCAGCTTCTCCCACCCTGACCAATGATCCCTCTCCAAGGAGCCTGCTCCCTGCTGAAGTCTCTCCTGGCACTTTCACCTCCCTTCTCTGTCTCCTCCCTTTCCAGGCCCATCCAGAGTGGTCCACGCTTGCTGTTTCCATCCTGTGCACCTTCCTCGCCCTCTCTCATCAAGCCTTACCAGCCTGGCCTCCAACCCCCCTGCCCTACCTTCTGGGCATGTCTCAACTCTTGCAGATATGCCCTCTCTAGCTCTGGGCACCTTCTAGCCCTCCTTTCTTGCACCTCTCCTTCCCAGGATGTTCTCTGGGGTTTCCTCCTATTCTCCAGCGGTCCCCCATCAGCCTCCCTGGTTGGCAACCTAGGCTCATCCCTGCAGTGCTGGAGTCGCCCCAGTCCTGGCCGCCTTCTCCTTTCTGGCTGCCCCTGCCTGAGCCATCTCTCCACATCCTCAGTAACCCCCAGTCTCTCCCCCAGCCTGGGCTGCTCTCCAGAACCACCCACATGTCCCTCAGACAACTCAGATGCAGCTTGGTCGAATGGGATTCCCTGTCTCCATTCCCCCAACTGGAGCCTCCTCCTGGATGCCCTCTCTGGGAGAAGAGTGCTTCTTTACTTCTTCACATTGTGGGCACTATCCTGGAACTGGCTTTCTCTCCACCTCCAAGTCCTGTCAGTCTGTCTGCCACACATCACGGGGATCCACCTACCTTTGTCGTCCTCAACCACTAACCATCAAGGCCACCACCATCATTTCCCACTGGGGAGACTGCAGCCACCACTGTCCCTGTCCCATCCCCCTGTCCCCTTATGCCTCCTTCAAATCCATCCTCAAGAGCAGCAGCCAGAGTGAGTTTTTAAAAACAGACACTGGATCATGCCAGTGGCCACCACCTTTGTCATTACCAGTAGCTGTGACCCCTCCCCTCTCTACAGTCAATTCCAAACTCACTCTCTCAAAGGCTCCAACACCAAAAACGCGTCGGTTCCCCCACTTGTTCACTGTCCCCACTGCCCACCCTGTCCCTTCTCTCCTTGCTACATGCCATGGTCCCAACCTCACCCACCCAAATGCCCTCAGTGTTCCAGCTCCCTCACTTGTTCCTGTCTCTCCAGGCAGTGCCATCTCTGGTTGCTTCCACTGCTCTGCCTGCTCGTGCCTTCACCCGTAACACCAGACATCAGAGGTTTTACACCAGTGAACACTGTGGACCAGTGTTCATTTAAATTCATGACTATTACAGTCACAGTTCCTTAGGATGGCTCAGTGATCCTACTATTGGACTGGCCAAAAAGTTTATTTCAGTTTTTTCCCCTAAGATATTATGGAAAAACCAGAACGAAACTTTTGGCCATTCCAATATATTTCTCTGGTGTGTTTGCCCTTAGTTTATTGTCTGTCTTCCTTCACCAGGCACCAGCTCTAGTCCCTGCTCTGTCATCAACCTCATGTAAACCACTGCCCCATACTGGGCCTCAGTTTCTCCCCTGGTAGAAATGGAGTGAGGGGTGAGGGAGGCCAGTGCTTCTAGAGCAAGAAGTCCTTCAGATTCACCTGGACATTTGCTTAAAATGCAGTTCCTGGACCTCACTCCTCAGAGAATCATGTTCAGTAAGTGTGGGACTGGGGATATGCATTTTAACCATCCAAGTGTGGGATGTTGTGAGTAATTGGTGATGCCATGTCACCACCCATAGTTCCATTCATACAAACATGTAAATCTCAACCGCAGTAACACCTACACAGACTAAGTTACGCCCCCAGACACAGCCCTCCGGACTTAGGTCCCAGTTCCCTGTATACCCAACTCCCCAAGGGATCCCTGGAAGGCTGAGTACCCACTGTGACTCTGTCTTTCCACCTGTGCAATGAGGTGACTGGCCCAGATCCCACGTGCATTCACAGGCACACCCAGACACACAACCAATCCCATACATGTAAATATAGATAAAGACATGGGCAGGCACACACATACATAGACATACACAACTATATATGTGTTCAGAGACATGCTTCCTTGTAGATACAGAGTCACAGACACACCTGAAGACACACATGTGGCCCACACAGATACACACAGACACGCAAAGATACATACTCATCCCCTGAGACAGGCAAATGCACACACACATATATACACACACACGAACACATACACAGACACTCGCAGTCCTCCTCTCCCCAGTTTCCTGGCCCAGCTCCACATGGAGAAGCTCTTGGAAAAGAAAAACAATGTGAGAGCCTGTGGGGGAGGGGAAGGGGGCAGGAAATCTGAGTGCCAGTCCAGTGGCCTCGCCAGAGGCCAGAGCTGTGCTGGGAATGGGGGGTGGTGAGGCAGGGGTCGTTGGGGCCAGACCCCTGTCTGCTGCGCCCTTCCTGCAGCCCTTAAACCGATAGGGTGGCAGGGAGGGGGCCGCTGCCACATCCTCTCTGCCTCTGGGAGCTGCCAGGCCTGAATGGGGCTTGGCAGGGAGGGGTGGCCCGCTCCTTCCAGGAATCCCAAGCCTGTCGTGCAGGGCCAGGGTGGGCGCCACCCAGGCCCCTAATGGCTTCCAGGCACCCACGCTCAAGGGAGGGGTGGGGGGGACTGGGGGAGGAGGGGGGTCAGAGGGGCTCTGGACGGGCCTCCTGCCTTTCTTCCTGCAGGCCCAGGTCCCCTGAAGGGTGTGTGTGCACACGTGTCTAAAGGGATGAGGGTGGGGGGGTCCCAAGTTAGGTTTCCTAGAGAAGCCCAGCCCTGGACACACCAGGACCCTGCCTACACACTCAAGGGCAGCTTGGCTCTGCCTAGCAATGCTTCCCCTCACCCCTACCCCCACCCCATGGACACAACACAGCCTTGGGGACAGACACACACACCAAACCCTGGTAACGTACACACTCACTGAGAGAGACGCCACACAGAGGTTCAGCTGGCAGTTGTAGAGACTGGCTCCCGCTGCCTACCCCGCCTGCCCTTCCCCACCAGGCTCAGCGTCTTCCTCCGCTGGGTTGTAATGTGTGTGGGGTGGCCTCCTGATTCCCGCTGGGTGTCACCACTCCCCACAGAGCAGGTGGAGGAGGGACCAGCCTCCACAGGCCCAGAAAGTCCTTCCCACTCACCCTCCCCTCTCCTGTACCCACCCCCGCCCCCAGCACCAGCCAGACGGGTCTATTCTTGCTCAAACCCTCAGGATCTCTGCCCAGTCTGATCCCCCACTTAGGATGCCCCCCTCAGACTCTGAAACCCCACCCATCCTTCAGGCTCAGTTCCACCACCTCCCGGAAATGCCTTGGTCTCCCCAGCCCCACTCTGCCAGTGTATCCCCACAACCTTCCAGAGCCAGACCTGGCCAGCTGCCCTCTCTCCTCTTGCAGTTCAGGCCTCCTCCAACCCAGGCAGGACATTTGTGCCACCCGGAGCCACTAGAAAGGGCCTGCACGCAGGATGTGCTCAAAGTTGGCTGGTGGGGTGGAGAGCAGAAGGCAGAACTGTGGATTCACATCCCCTTAACTGGGTAGCAGAGCCACCTAGGAGGGCTTCCCGTGTGGCACTAGTGGTAAAGAACCCACCTGCCAATGCAGGAGACGCCAAAGATGTGGGCTTGATCTCTGGCTTGGGAAGATCCCCTGGAGGAGGGCATGGCAACCCACTCCAGTATTCATGCCTGGAGAATCCCATGGACAGAGGAGAGTGGTGGGCTATGTACAGCCCATAGGGTTGCAAAGAGTAGGACACCACTGAAGTGACTTAGCAAGCACGCACAGGTCCACATGGGACTCAAGAGCTCCTGAACCCCAGCCCCACAGTCATCCTCACTGCTCCAGGCAGCTGCTGGCCAGGACAGAAGAATGTTTTGATTGGATATTTGCCTCAGGCAAGGCATTCATCAGCCCTGTCTAGACAAAGTGACCGGTGGCTCCTGCTGCTAGTGGACCTCTTTGGAATGTTCTTTCTCCTTTCTCTAGCAGTACCTCCTACACATCCTTTAGGACCTACCTCTGGATAACAATCCCCTGGGTAACCTTCCCCAACCTCATACACAGAGTATGTTAGTGCTCCCAACATGACACCTCCTTGTTCTTCAGCAGTGGCCATGCTGAGAAACCACAAGGGCATCCTGGACTCACTGGCTGTCAGCACAGGGCCCAGCATACAGCAGATGCTGCATTAATGCTTCCCAGGCTGATGGGTGGAAGATGAATAGCCAGGGGTTCCCTGTAATCAGGGAGAGTTGCACCATCCTAAGGATCAGGAGTCACTTTAGGGTCAGGCTCTGAGAGGTGTCAGGCTCAGGTAGGTGTCAGAGCCTGTGGCCAAGGTCAAAGTCAGAGGTCATCTCATGGCCAGGTCAAGGATCCGGCCTCTTACCTGAGGGGGTCTATCTGACTCGCAGGGGGACAAGTTTATTTTGTCCTTAACCGTGTTTTGATGGCTCATATCTAGTGAGAAGAGTAGGCAGTGCTGAGGCCTAGATGGGGCCCAGCTTAGGGGGGTGGGATGCTGGGGTGGAATGGCCCAACTCCTCCCTCCAGCTCAGAAACCCCCTATAACCTCCCAGAACCTTTCAGGTGGGGCTGTGGGGCTGGCCTGTGGCCACAGGCCTGGCTGTGGGCAGGGAGCAGAGCCCAGCAGGAAACCACAGAGGACAGCCTGATTGGATAAGTGCAGGGCCCAAGGCTGGTCAGCCCACAAACTGTGGGCGCTTGTCCCTCTGACCTGTCACCCATGCTCCCATCACCAGACCTCCAGGAGAGGAGAGGGAGGCAAGCTGAGCCTACAGGCTGAACCTGAGCGCTGGGGGGTAGGCACCTCTAATCTGTTCCCAGGTACCTCCATCTTGGACAGAGAAGCCAAAGACATCCTGGACCACTAATCAGAACTCCAGAACTCCTTTTTTACAAATGGGCCGCCTGAGATCCAGAGGTACAGCTATTGGTCCACATCAAGGACCAGCAGCAAAATTGGGTGTGTGGTTGGGGGGGGGGGGCTGGAATGCTTGGATTGGATGCCTCCCCTCCTGGGTCCTGATCACCTGAGGGGGCAAGGTGCCCCTGGGACCACCTACACTATGGGGTCCTCAGTCACCAGGCCAAGCACTGCTGGGAGAGGATGGGGTGGACTCCAGCCCCGAGCCTCTGAGCAACCCCTTCAACTATTCACTCTAGTACAGCGGACTTCCCAGGAGCCCCATCTCTACCTCTGTGACGTTGTTTGATACCAGCAAGGCCATGCCCTCTCTGATGCTGTTTTCTTACTTGTAAGATGGGGACAGGCACTAATACCTAAAAGCTCTGGCTAACCAGTAGGCAGAATCTGTGCCGACACGAAGTAATCCTACTTCCCCAACAGCCCTACATAACCCACACTTAAGACAGACAAACTGAAGCCCCGTGTGGGGAAGGAGGCTTGCAGGACATCGTCCGTTCTCACAATCATAATAGTGGGACAACGGAGGCCCACTCCCTTCTCCTGACACTGAGCCGTCGCTCCACCTGTCCCAACTCCTTCCAGAAATTCCCTTTCTGCCCTCCCACGACCACGAGTCACCTAAATCCTCACTTCCTCTCCCCCTCCCCAGCACAGCGGCGGCGCGATGAGGGAGGAGGGTCTCCCGACCAGCGAGAAGCGGTCCCGCCCACCCCGCCGCGCGGCCCTCCATTGGCAGCCACCAGGGGCGCCGTGCTCCGATTGGCCCGCGCCGCCCGTCCGTCCCGCATTCGCCATGGTGACCACGTTGGGTCCCCCGGGAGAGGTCCAAATTCCGCCCCGGCCCGCTGCCGCCGCCCCCCTCGGGTCTGGCCCCAGCCCGCAGCTTTTCAAGGGCGGCCCTGCCCTCTGCCCTCCCCCCTCCCCAAACTCCCGAAGCCCCTTCACTCCTGAGGCTGGGGCTCCGGGAGGTAGGGGAGCCCGCGGAGGGGGCTAGGAAGTTCTGCTCGGAGTTTGGGGGTTGCTGCGGACGCGGGAGCTCCCGCTGCTCCTCTTCCAGCACGCCCCCCAACTTAACCCCTTCCCTCCCGCTGAAGGTTCGCGGCCTGGAGGGAGTTCCCCGGGACGTGGTGGCTTTCGGCCCCCTGCACTGCCGCCCCCGCTCACCTCGGCTGGCGACCAGCGGGCTCCGGACGTCCGATCCGCCGCGGCTGGGCGGAGCGGGCACGGGGCTTGCTGCGGCCGCCGCCGGGAGGGCCGAGGGAGGGCCGCGGAGTCTCCTCCTCCCTCCGCGGGGGAGGGGAGAGAGAGGAGTCGGCGGGGCGGGGGCGGTGGGGCCCGGGCGAGTTGCGGCCCCACTCTGACCCTGGCCCGCAGAGTTGGGTGGGTGGGGGGCTCGCGCCTAACTTTGGGGAGAGGGGCGCGGGCCGAGTTGGCGGAATCGCCACCGAACGGGCCGGACCCCGACAGAGGCCCCACCCCGGCATCGGGCCTAGAGGAGGGGGAAGGAAGGCCGGGTCTGGGGGCCCCGCGGGCTCGGCTTTCCCGCCTCAAGTTTCCCTGAGCGGCAGTGACGTACTCGGCGCCCAGCAGCAGAAGTGGGCACCGTCTGTCCCGGGCTCAGCACTTGCAGCTTGTATACCTTTGTTACCTACACTCTTCCCAGTGCTAGCTCTGCAGGCGAGTGGATGCGGAGCAGCAAATCCCTGCACCTCAGCGGGCCTCAGTTTCCCCTTTATACAGCAGAAGGATGGACCACAGTAGCCTCGCGCATGTTGAGAAGCGTGGTGGAGCCGGGCGGAGGTTTTCCCGGATGTGCCAGGCTGCTTCCCGCGCAGTGCCGACCTCAGCTGGCTGAGGGGGGGGGGGGGGGCGGCGGTCCCGGGCAGTTACCTTGAGGGGTACTTGCGTGCGCCCTGGCACTTTGGAGCTTCCTCCCTTGAGAGTGAGTGTCTGCGGTTACTTCGAGAGGGGGAAGCGGTCGCCGGACAGCCTTCTACTTACCACATCCTGTCCCCTGGAAGGCCCGATGAGGTGTTAAAGGAGGACCAGAAGTTCAGAGTTGTGGTGGAGGGAACCGTGCTGTATTGAGACTTTACATGGAAACAGGAACTAAAAGAAGATAAATTAGTTTGAATTGATAATTAACAGTAGAGGCATATGTCTTTTTATTGCCCTTCGCAATATGCTGTGTTTCTGTTTTGTACAAATTGAAGGTTTGTGCAACTACTTAGAAAGCAAGTCTGTTGGCACCAACAGCATTTGCTCACTTTGTGTCTCAGTGTCACATTTTGATAACCCTAAACATATTTCAGACCTTCCACTAGCAAAAAGATTACCAGTTGCTGAAGGTGCAAGTGATAGCATTTTTTAGCAATGTGCATGTGTGTTAAGTCACTTCAGTCATGTCTGACTCTTTGGGACCCAATAGACTGTAGCCTGCCAGGCTCCTCTGTCCATGGGATTCTCCAGGCAAAGATACTGAAGTGGGTTGCCATGCCCTCTTCCAGGGTATCTTCCCCATCCAGGGATCAAACCCCATCTCTTCTGCCCCAACCCACATCTCTTCTGTCTCCTGCATTGGCAGGCAGGTTCTTTACCTCTAGCACTACCTGGGAAGCCCCTTTTTAGCAATAAAGATTTTTAAATTAAGGTTTATGTACTTCTTAAAAGACATAATGCTGTTGGCACACTTACTATACTAATGTAGTGTAAACATAACCTTTACCTGCACTGGGAAACCAAAAATATTCATGTAACTCAATACATTGTGAGTTTTGGTTTACTGTGGTGGCTTGGAACTGAACTGGAAATATCTCCGAGGTATGCCTGTACTTGGGGGCTTCCCTGGTGGCTCAGATGGTAAAGATGGTAAAGAACCTGTATTTAGATTATGGTTGTTATCATTCATGCAGTAGCATCAATGAAGAATTGGCTCTTTGCAGCAAGAGGATCATTTTTGCAAATGTATTTGAGAGTTTCACACCAGGGTTCACTCTGAATCCTGTGACAAACAGTTCTCTCTGCAAGTTCTTGGTCCTTTCTTTTACAGAAGCTCTCTTCCTCTGTGGTCAGTGGCTGCTCCTTTTCCACAGAACACTTACACCAACTTCGTGAAATCCCACGCTTTTTTGCAGGATTTGTAGTTTCACTCATAACCATGTGCTTTGTCTTGGCATGGTTGAATGTTGATAGCATCTGAGAGTCAGCTCGGGACAGATTTTGCTGGCAATATGTGGGGTTTGAGAGGGAACTAACCTGTGAATATTGCAGTGGCTGACCTTTGCTTACTGTGTGCTTTGGACCTGTGAGATTCAGATATTGAGTACTCAGAGAGCTGGAACACCCCCCATTTTAAACTTGGAGAAATGCTCACTAAGGCTCTTGGCTGAGACTTACCCAGAGTTTCACAACCAGTAAGGACAGTTGTGGACCAAGATCCCAGAGTTCTTTCCTAGAGTTTCTGGAGGTGGGGATATGGATTAAGAAGATGGAGGAGACTGAGTTGATGGTGAACCTAAACTCCAATTGTTTTTTTTACAGCTTATTATATTATTATTATTATTTGCCACATCACATGGTATACAGGATCTCAGTACCCCAACAGGGGACTGAACCCATGTCCCCTGCATTTGGGAGCCTGGAGTCTTAACCACTGGACCACCAGCGAAGTCCCCTAAGCTCCAGTTATAAAATCATCACAATAGAGCTATCTGTCTCAAAGAGAAGAACCAAAAATATTGTCCCAGGTGTGTCTGTTGCAGGGGTTGGGGGAGGGAGAGTCACCCATTCATAGAACCAAGCCGTGTGCTGACCATAGACTTGGGAGTTCACATGAATTAGCTCAGTGTTCTAGCCATCCTGGGCTTCCCAGGTGGTGCTAGTGGTAAAGCATTCACCTGCCAATGCAGGAGAGGCAAGAGATGTGGGTTTGATCCCTGGGTGGGGAAGATCACCTAGCGTAGGAAATGGCAACCGACTCCAGTATTCTTGCCTGGAAAACACCATGGACAGGGGAGCCTGATAGGCTACAGTCCACGGGGTTGCAAAGAGTATGACATGGCTGACTGAGCGAGCATGCACACATAGCCATCCTGTGAGCTGGTGTTGTTACCGTCATCTCACAGTGAGAAAAGTGGGGATCAGAAGCCAAGTGACAGACTCCAGTCACATGCTGGGAGATCTTAAAGCCCAGATCTGACTTTCAACTTTACTATTTCATTCCTGTTGCTAAAACCGCACCTCCTGGCAGCCTATTGGATGCAGTGCTAATCTGGTGTTAGTTTCCCAGTGCCCCCACTAGGGGTTTCTTTCCCCAATTTAGCACAGTAGGGTTTTCCACTGAGGCTTGTGTTAGTATTTCCCACACTTCAGCAGTCCTCTGTCCCGTGTCTCTGCCACCACTTTTTGCCATCAACACATAACTCTTGTGCTATTATTTACTTGGCATTTTTCTTTAAACCATTTCACTTTTTTAAGGACAGATGTATATTTTAGGCTAAATAGGAAATGTTATCAGTTGCTATAAATAGAAGAAAGTCATAAAAATAAATGTCATGTAAACAAGCAACATCCTCAGTCAAGCTAGAAACCCTCACTTTGTTAAGAAAGGAATACAACTTGTACACCCACGTTCGTAGCAGCATATTCACAATACCCAAAAGATAGAAGCAACCTAAGTGTCTGTTGGTGGATGAATGGATAAACAATGTGGTCTATACATTCAAAAGAATATTATTCAGCCTTGAGAGGAGGCTAAAGGAAATTCTGACATATGTTTAACAGCATAGATTGACCATAAAGACATAATGTTAGGTAAACAAGCTACACACAAAATGGAAAATATTGCTTGATTCCACTGATAGGCGGTTCCTAGAGCAGTCAAACAGAGACTGAAAGTAGACTGGTGGTTACTCCGGGCTGTAGGGCGTGGGGAATGGGGAATTAGTGTTTAATGGTACAAAGTTACAGTTTCCAGAGACCTAAAAGCTTTGAGGGTGGTGATAGTAACAATATGAATGTACTTAATGCCACTGAACTGTACACTTAAAAATGGCTAATATGTAAACTTCATGCATATTTTTGCCACAATAAAAGAATCACTAAAAATCAGATATCCTGTTTTCTATGTCCAATAAAAGTTTGAAGAATGAAAATCAAAAGGACAGAAGGCGGTGGTAGAAAGGGGTTAGAGATAATTTAGTTCTAAACAGACACTTCTGCATGTCACTGGGATTGAGAAAGACTGAAAAGTAAATTACTTTTTCCTGGTGTGAGTCAGTTTATCTAATGTCCTGTCAGGGGTGCCACTTACTGCCCTCTTGCAGATCACCAGGGGGAGTAGACCCCATGGTGAGAGACACATTGCAAGGGCTGGGGATGGCTTTCTTGGGGTGGGGAGTGGGAGGTGGCTTGCCTTCCTCCCTGCCTGGGAGACTGAACAAGGGCCAGGCATGCCTCCCAAAGTAGAAGCATCTGGAATGTTCCATAGGGGAACTGGAAGCAGGGAAGGCTTCCTAGAGTAGGCAGGACTTGAGATGGGCCCTAATAGATGGAGAGGAGCTGGTGTGCCCAGGTATGTGTGTGTCATAGCAGGATAAGAGCAGGGAGACGGGGATGAATGAGCTGAAGCTCCAATACTTTGGCCACCTGATGCGTAGAGCCAACTCATTGGAAAAGACCCTGATGCTGGGAAAGACTGAGAGCAGGAGAAGAAGCGGGCAGCAGAGGATGAGATGGTTGGATACCATCACTGACTCAATGGACACGAGTTCGAGCCAACTCCGGGAGATGGCAAGGATGGGGAAACCTGGTGTGCTGCAGTCCATGGGGTTGCAAAGAGTTGGACACGACTGAGCGACTAAACAACAACAATGGCAATCACATCCCGGACTGGGCGGAAGTAGTGACTGGACGGGGCTAGACCATGAAGGCAATGGGAGCCACTGCTGGTTCCTTGAGCTGGGGGTGAGTCTTGGCAGTGAGTTCCAGAATCTGGAGTGCAGGGCTATGTAACCAGCACCCCCAAAATGCAGGGCATAGTGAGGCAGGCCCAGATCCAGGATGAAAATTAGAGGGGCTTTTGGGGTGAACAGGGCTTCCTCCTGGGCCCTGAGAGCAGCTGCTGGTAATGCAACCCTAGAGGTGGCCAGGAGACCTCAGAAAGGAAGGAAGAGCCTAGAGGTCAAGGGCTGGGTCACGGCCACAGAAAACCAAAGTGCGGAGGAGGGCAAGAATTTGTCCAAGACACCCAGCAGGAATGTGGCAAGGTGTCAAGCATATAGGTGTCCCTGCAAAGTCTCTGCACTGCAGCTGGGGTGGGAGCCTGCACACGTGGGCCTGCACCTCGCTGAAGTCTCCCTGTCCTGCAAGGAGCAGCTCCCTTCCTTCCTTCCACCCAGGCCACCTGAAGTACCTGTGTGCTGTGCTTGGCGGAGGCCGCAGGGGCCCCCGCATGGGGGCAGGGAGAAGGGAGACCATGTTGGGACCTGCCTGTTTCTCTCTGTTGCTGCATCCCTATCTTACCCTGAGGGTAGAAAAGCTCATTCCTGAGTCAGAATTTTC